TTAGTAATTGGTGCACTGAGAACACCAATTAGGCAACTGAAGATGCTAAGGAATATGAATGTAGAACTAATATCTGAAGATGCTAAGGAATATGAATTAGAACTAATATCTGTTAGTAATTGGTGCACTGAGAACACCAATTAGGCAACTGAAGAGGCTAAGGAATATGAATGTAGAACTAATATCTGTTTAGTAATTGGTTGAATGAATGTAGAACCAATTGCACTGAGAACTGAAGAGGCTAAGGAATATGAATGTAGAACTAATATCTGTTAGTAATTGGTGCACTGAGAACACCAATTAGGGCAACTGAAGAGGCTAAGGAATATGAATGTAGAACTAATATCTGTTAGTAATTGGTGCACTGGAGAACACCAATTAGGCAACTGAAGAGGCTAAGGAAACACTGAGAACAATTCAGCAACTGAAGAGGCTAAGGAATATGAATGTAGAACTAATATCTGTTAGTAATTGGGCTGAGAAACCAAAGGCAACTGAAGAGGCTAAGGAATATGAATGTAGAACTAATATCTGAATGTAGTAAATTGTTAGTGCACTGAGAACACCAATTAGGCAACTGAAGAGGCTAAGGAATATGAATGTAGAACTACCTGTTAGTAATTGGTGCACTGAGAACACCAATTAGGCAACTGAAAGAGGAATATGAATGCTAAGGAATATGAATGTAGAACTAGGAATATGAATGTTAGTTAATTGGTGCACTGAGAACACCAATTAGGCAACTGAAGATGCTAAGGAATATGAATGTAGAACTAATATCTGTTAGTAATTGGTGCAACTGAGAACACCAATTAGGCAACTGAAGAGGCTAAGGAATATGAATGTAGAACTAATATCTGTTAGTAATTGGTGCACTGAGAACACCAATTAGGCAACTGAAGATGCTAAGGAATATGAATGTAGAACTAATATCTGTTAGTAATCTGAGAACACCAATTAGGCAACTGAAGAGGCTAAGGAATATGAATGTAGAACTAATATCTGTTAGTAATTGGTGCACTGAGAACACCAATTAGGCAACTGAAGATGCTAAGGAATATGAATGTAGAACTAATATCTGTTAGTAATTGGTGCACTGAGAACACCAATTAGGCAACTGAAGATGCTAAGGAATATGAATGTAGAACTAATATCTGTTAGTAAGTAATTGAGAACACAATGAGCAGCTGAAGATGCTAAGGAATATGAACAATCTGTTAGTAAAACTGAGAACACCAATTAGGCAACTGAAGAGGCTAAGGAATATGAAAGAACTATTATCTGTTAGTAATTGGTGCACTGAGAACACCAATTAGGCAACTGAAAGAGGCTAAGGAATATGAATGTAGAACTAATATGAATGGAACTAATCTGTTAGTAATTGGTGCACTGAGAACACCAATTAGGCAACTGAAGAGGCTAAGGAATATGAATGTAGAACTATCTGTTATCTGTTAGTAATTGGTGCACTGAGAACACCAATTAGGCAACTGAAGATGCTAAGGAATATGAATGTAGAACTAAATCTGTTAGTAATTGGTGCATTGAGAACACCAATTAGGCAACTGAAGAGGCTAAGGAATATGAATGTAGAACTAATATCGTTGAGAATTGAGAACACCAATTAGGCACTGAGCTAAGGAACACCAATTAGAACTAAATCTGTTGAAGCAACACCAAAGGAAAGAATATGAAGAACTAATATCTGTTAGTAATATGAGAACACCAATTAGGCAACTGAAGAGGCTAAGGAATATGAATAGAACTAATATCTGTTAGTAATTGGTGCACTGAGAACACCAATTAGGCAACTGAAAGAATGTAGCTAAGGAATATGAGAATGTAGAACTAATATCTGTTAGTAATTGGTGCACTGAGAACACCAATTAGGCAAACTGAAATGAATGTAGAACTAATAAGGAATATGAATGTAGAACTAATATCTGTTAGTAATTGGTGCACTGAGAACACCAATTAGGCAACTGAAGAGGCTAAGGAATATGAATGTAGAACTAATATCTGTTAGTAATTGGTGCACTGAGAACACCAATTAGGCAACTGAAGATGCTAAGGAATATGAATGTAGAACTAATATCTGTTAGTAATTGGTGCACTGAGAACACCAATTAGGCAACTGAAGATGCTAAGGAATATGAATGTAGAACTAATATCTGTTAGTAATTGGTGCACTGAGAACACCAATTAGGCAACTGAAGAGGCTAAGGAAATGAATGTAGAACTAATATCTGTTAGTAATTGGTGCATTGAGAACACCAATTGCAAACTGAAGAGGCTAAGGAATATGAATGAGAACATCTGTTAGTAATTACTGGCAACTGAAGAGGCTAAGGAATATGAATGTAGAACTAATATCTGTTAGTAATTGGTGCACTGAGAACACCAATTAGGCAACTGAAGATGCTAAGGAATATGAATGTAGAACTAATATCTGTTAGTAATTGGTGCACTGAGAACACCAATTAGGCAACTGAAGATGCTAAGGAATATGAATGTAGAATTAACTGAATGAATGTGCAATTGGTGCTGAACCAATTAGGCAACTGAAGAGGCTAAGGAATATGAATGTAGAACTAATATCTGAGAACACCAATTAGGCAACTGAAGATGCTAAGGAATATGAATGTAGAACTAATATCTGTTAGTAATTGGTGCACTGAGAACACCAATTAGGCAACTGAAGATGCTAAGGAATATGAATGTAGAACTAATATTGTTAGTAATTGGTGCACTGAGAACACCAATTAGGCAACTGAAGAGGCTAAGGAATATGAATGTAGAACTAATATCTGTTAGTAATTGGTGCACTGAGAACACCAATTAGGCAACTGAAGATGCTAAGGACTGAAAGATGCTAAGGAATATGAATGTAGAACTAATATCTGTTAGTAACTGAGAACACCAATTAGGCAACTGAAGAGGCTAAGGAATATGAATGTAGAACTAATATCTGTTAGTAATTGGTGCACTGAGAACACCAATTAGGCAACTGAAGATGCTAAGGAATATGAATGTAGAACTAATATCTGTTAGTAATTGGTGTAATTGAGAACACCAATTAGGCAACTGAAGATGCTAAGGAATATGAATGTAGAACTAATATCTGTTAGTAATTGGTGCACTGAGAACACCAATTAGGCAACTGAAGAGGCTAAGGAATATGAATGTAGAACTAATATCTGTTAGTAATTGGTGCACTGAGAACACCAATTAGGCAACTGAAGATGCTAAGGAATATGAATGTAGAACTAATATCTGTTAGTAATTGGTGCAACACCAATTAGGCAACTGAAGAGGCTAAGGAATATGAATGTAGAACTAATATCTGTTAGTAATTGGTGCACTGAGAACACCAATTAGGCAACTGAAGAGGCTAAGGAATATGAATGTAGAACTAATATCTGTTAGTAATTGGTGCAATTGAGAACACCAATTAGGCAAGAGGCTAAGGAATATGAATGTAGAACAATCTGTTAGTAATTGGTGAAGAGGCTAAGGAATATGAATGTAGAACTAATATCTGTTAGTAATTGGTGCAATTGAGAACACCAATTAGGCAAGAAGACTAAGGAATATGAATTAGGAACACCAATTAGGCAACTGAAGAGGCTAAGGAGAACTGAAATTGCGACCAAGATTGTAGACTTCTACAAAACTGCCATCATTTACTCTGCAAGGATTCTCTGAAAACTTCTCAAGTTGTGGAGTCTTGTTGTTGCTATTCCTCAGGAACAGAATTTCAGTTGATTACATGAATGTGCAACACTAACATAATGATAAAAACTAAAAGAAAATATTTGTATATGTTGTTGGGAAGATAAAGAATTTATTTCTGCATCCTAAGGCAAGGGTTGGCAACCTACAGCACGCATGGCATGGCAAGCAATTTCCAATCGCATGCAGCTGTAAATGACATCACAAATTCTGAACTAATAACTACTAAACGCAAAGAAGATATTTAGCTGTTTCAATCTTAAAATATACTAAAGTATATATACTATATATTGCTATATAAAATATATTGTAGAACAGGTATATTGACCTTGACTTGTATAAAAATACCTATGCTCTTGGCACACTTAAAACCCTGAGTTGGTACATAGCAAAAGGTTGCCAACACCTGTCCTAAGGGATATTTATTTCATTGCAGACCTCATTTTCAGATAGATTATGTGGCCTGTTAAAAATATCCAAATATTTAATATTAATATAAAATAGCCTAGCTAGAGTGATGGTACCTGAGCCCCCTTAAAATATCCTCTCAGATCACATAAGTTTATGTTGACATAAGTCCTCTTTTGGGATAACCTCTGGGGAAAGTCAGAATTTGCTAAATCTAGATTGTATGGAGAGCTGACAGACTTGGGTGATGTGATGATTTACCAAAAACTTCTACTTCTAAATATAAAATCTATTTGCTTGGTTATTGCAAATCTGATGGTTATATAAATTCACTTGTTAGTATGACTGTCAGTTGAGTAACTCCATGTAGGTTTTTGTCCATGTGAAATAGTCTTTTCTGGTTGGTTAAGTTTTATCAGCACTGGTTTTTCAGATATTTAAAAATGACTGGATACATTCCAGATAGACATTTTGGATATTTGAATGATTCTTTCATTAAGTTCATAAGAGATAAGAGAATTGTCTTGGAAAAAAAAAAAAGCTTTCTATGAAGGGGGAAGAATTTTCTCATTCCATATTATCTCAAAGTTGCTTAGTTTACACTGCCAAAATGTTGAAATTTTCTTAAAGTTTATACTGGTGAGATCTTGCTTATATCTGAGGTTATTTTGATAAAGTTAGTATGTAAACAAAATTTTATCTTTTCCCTTTAGAAAGATAAAATTATTTGTGTGATTATTGGTTCCTATTCTACAGCTCTTTAAATTGCATCACTATTTTAACAAATGCTTCTTTTCTGTATATCCAAAACCAAGAATTTTTTTAATTATTTAATCTTTCTCACCACCCTCTTATTCCAG